TAAAATTAGCAGACTCTCTTTATTGTTATTTCATATAGCCAACTGAATCTCTTAAAAGACTTTTGCAGATTTTTGACAAACTCATATCCACACTAATCCTAGGCTGCGAGTGATAAACAAGTATAATTCTGACATGAATAGTGGCTGATATTTTCATTTACATTAATGAGTAGAACAAAAGTGAAAAACGAAGACATGTGTTAGAGCTACATTGTTTCATCAACGACATGAGTGACGTCTTTGCTGAATCAGATAATAGTTTCCATATACTGGAAGAATATTCCCTCAAATTTTTGCGCTAGTCATAATGTGACAGCTACAGACATGACACCCTTTTAAGCTTAATCTGCATCATTAAACATTTTCTCCATCACTTTTTTAAGTCTAGTCAACAAAACAATAAATCAAGCACTGATTCGCAACATATGCTGATTTCGACAATGTAAATACTCCTCCCATGGTCAATCTCAAGTTGCCAAGGTGATGTCACTGAATGCAAAATTGGAATAAGACACATAGTAGCCCACTATTGTGTATTTTCACTGTATAAATATGCTAGGTGTAAATAACCTCTGGACACAGATAAAAGTAACATACAGTACAATAAGTGGAATCAATGAGTTTGGGTTATTTATTATCTTTGGTTTTAATATAATTTATTTATTTGTAGGTGTTCCAGGAGTTTTCTTCCCAGTTCCCATTGGGTCCTCATGGATCTGCCTCATTCTTTTCAGGGCCCGCCTTTCAGTGGGTGTTACCCGAGGGCAAAGGGAGTCCGTGGAACTGTGAACGGAGGGAAAGCGCCTCCCACGGCAGCATCTTCTTGCATCTGGCCATCCCTGGGTGCCTCAGGTTTCTCCCCCATCCCAGCCTCACAGAGGTGAGTCTGTTGCTTCCTTGAAAACAGCATTTTCCTCAGATCCTGGAGGGCTTTGTTACTGAGCAATGGTTTGCATATAGTTCTATTCTAGAATATTTTTCTTCTTCCTCCCCTCTCCCTCCTGTCTCTTCCCCATAAAATTGTATTATGTGGCTAATTCTTTTGGAAGGAAGAGAGCAGCATTAACATCATTTCTGATTTGGGCGTTTCTCCTAAGTGGTTATGTTCTCATCTGAAATACCTCTTGATAGCAGAGCTAAAAAGAGGGATTACGAGGGGAGAGAAGACTCGGCAAGGAAGGAGCCAGGAGACAGCCTGGAGCGGGGAGAGTGGAGCCTGGGTCAAGGAACACAGTCTGTGGCCTCCTGCCAGTTCCCTCATCGCCAACCACCTGACTCTACCCTCACTCCCATCCCAAGCCTTTTCCTGAGCATCACTGAAGGGATTATTTAAAAGGCAGCTTCTTGGGCCCCAACCCTACACCTGCTACATTTCTGGGTTGGGGCTCAGGAGTTTGCCTTTCAACAAGTTCCTGCAGGCAATTCCCACGCACACTCAAGTTAAAGCCACTAGCTTAAGACTCTATGCTCAGAGACCGTCTGACTCCTGGTGACTTTGTAATTTGAGAGTTTTCACATGGCAACTGAAGACAGGCCTGATTGGTTGGTTCACAAGGTATCAGGCACCTTCGAAAATTAATAGTACAGAATGATGGGGCAATTCTATTTGTAGGCCAAAATTGCAGATAAAAGTAAGAAAACCTGGCCTAAATGACAGAGAAGGCAATAATCAATACACTAACATAAAACAATAATGCAGCTGGTACAATAAAGCAATCCCGTGGGGAGCTGTAGAGTGCATCATTAGCGTCCCGTCGTAATGAAGCCCGCAGAATGCGGCTCGCATTAGCCAGGGCAAAGCCTCTTCAACGCTGAATATTCTGCCACACTGCAGGCACATTTATTTTATTTGAAAGAAGAATGGCCCTGTTGCCAAAGCCATCAGATGGTAAAAAGAGATATATTTGATGGATAATAAAAAAGGGTCTGCCACAGCCTCACAAAATACATTCCGAATGGAAATGTTTCTAGTACGTGGAATTCATATCCCTGGTGTGTAGATACCTGCAGACAAGGTAAGCAGGGGTGGGGAGAGCTGTGTGGGGTGAGTCAGGAATATGGCCACAAAGATGGGGGGACCGTTATTTTTAACAATAACAAACAACAACAAAGAGCCCACTCGACAAACATCACTCACTCTTTCTCAACCTGTTCCCTTGATGCAGATTGACAGCCCTTTTAATATGAAATAAATCAGGCAGGAGAAGCAGTGTCTGGAAGAACATACAGATTGAGGGCTGACTGACACAACGCCTCCGAAACGTGCTCTATTTGCATTTGCCTTTGTAACGGCGAACTTGAAAGGATGTCAGCCTCCTTGAAAGGCTGCAAGGATGCGCTTTGAACTTGGAAAGTGAATGTGCAATGCTTGGTGATGCTGGAGCCCTGCTGTGTGCTGCCAAGAACGGGAGCAGGCAGACCCTGCAAATACAAGTGGCCCTTCCCATCTCCCTGCCGACCTTGGGGTAAAAAGACATTTTATCTAATAACTGGTTTCATACTTAGTTAGGACCAACAAGTTCTCCTGAGGCAGTGGGCTCACACCAAAGCATTAGGATCGAGTCACTTCTCACCAAGAAAACTGGCTGGTAATGGGCCACGACACCTTTCAAGGAGGTGTGTGGTCAGTGTCCATCCCTGTCAAGTACACCCCCACCTCAGTCCACTCTTCCAGATGCTGAAGTCCCTTTGGTTAGCTGCCTTCTTGGATTTCCTGGACTGTCTGATGTTCACAGTGACCCTGTAAAGCAAACGCCAGTCCCCATCAGTCCTGAGACAGTGAAAGTTGGTTTCAACATCTCTCCTAGCACAGGGGCAAGTATTTCCACTGTGGGCAAGAAAATGCTTGAGAGGTACGGGGTGCATCTGGAGTAAGCCCAGAGGAGAAACCAGAGAACAAGGCAGTAGGCAAGCACAAAAACAGCAAGCTCTACTGGAAAGGTGTCTGCTTTCTGAAGCCCACACCTATCCTCTTCAGCACCTTTGCTCCCTTCCACCTGGAGAGCCCGCCCAGGCTACACACCTGCCAGGCACCCCATCAGCAGTTTTGCTCTGACTAGCTTGGCTCCTTGATCATTCAGCAGTAGTGGTGGAGCACTACTGTGAAGCACTGGTCACCTTCCTAGGTGCTTGAGCTAGAGTGATACTGAAGTCAAAGCTGTCCTCGAGGACTTACGTTCCAGTGGGAGACAAACAAAATGCTATTCCAAACAAAATAGGTATAGATTGCGAGAAATGCCAGAAAGGAAGGAGAGTAGACATAGTAAGTGGCACTAACCCAGCTAGCCAGGAGAGGAGGCCTACTTTCCAGGGAGTGATCAGGGACAGCCTGCTTAGAACGGTGACATGTGAGTTGACATCTAACACGTGAAAAGAATCCAGCCACATGACAATGAGCAGGAAGAGTGGGCCAGGCAGAACAAACAGCAAGCGCAAGGGCACTGAGCCGGGGAAGCCCCTTGCAAGGCTGGCGAATCAGCAAGAGGCTGTGTGGCTGGGATATGGGGGAGAGGGAGAAGAGGAGGGAGGCCAGGTGGGAGAGGAAAATGAGGTAGCTGTTGCAGCGTCTCTGCTGGGCTTTGGAGCCAGTGTGTCTGCCTCCCAAACACCTATGTGGCCTTGGGCAATATAACTGACCTCTCCAGTGGTCCCTCTTCCAACTAGGCCAGTAACACATGCCTCATAGTACCTACCCCATGGGGCTGTCATGAAGATTACAGGAGCTGAGGCTGCTGCATGTGAACTGTTTTACATAGCGCCTGGCAGTGTCAGCATTCAAGACATGTTAACTGCTCCCATTATTTTCAAAGATGGGTTCATGTGGGGTGGGACGGGAGTATTAAATCAGCTTCTTGGGGCCCTACTAAGCCAGTGTACCTGAGCTCCCTATGATGTCAGGCCACCAAAAGCATTCGAGTGCAATTATAAGGAAATTACTTTCCCAGCAATTAATCACCAGTATGAGATTGCCAATACATATCATTGTGGCGTTATGACACATTGCATCATGTGATCAGAATGTAGAGTAGAAAGGGGACCATTTGTAGCTGACCTTATTCAAGTCAAATCAGCTCAATCAATTGAATGTCAGTAGGAGTTTTGCCTGAATAAGGGTCAAGACCAATTATCAAAAGGCAAAATAAAACAAAAAGATGTTTTTAAAGATATTAGATCTTATAACAATTTTTCACAGTTCAGGGATACGTTGAGATAGTGCCTCTGTAATTCACGGAATACGTTGTTCATAAAGGTTTTCTGTCTAGTCCTTTATTTCAAAAGAGTCTATCCGCATCTTTTTTCTTTTCTTTTTCAGATAGGGTCTCTCTTTGTCACCCAGCCTGGAGTTCAGTGGCACAAACTTGGCTTACTGCAACCTCCACCTCCTAGGGCCAAGCGATCCTCCCACCTCAGCCTCCTGAGTAGTTGAGACTACAGGCACACGCTACCATGTGCAGCTAATTTTTTGTATTTTTGGTAGAGATGGGGTTTGCCATGCTGCCCAGTCTGGTTTTGAACTTCTGAGCTCAAGGATCCTCCTGCCTTGGCCTCCCAGAATGCAGGGATTACAGCCATGGGCCACCACACCCAGCTCTACATTTTCTTTTTATAGACTCAAAAATATGGTTAAAAAAAAAGTACAAAACGGCTGAGATGTGTATCTGAAACAGAAGACTTCTCACCAACTACCAATTACACTACTAACTTGGATTATCTGTGCCTCTCTGGTAGCCAGATAGCAGGAAAATGCTGGAAAACTCTACAACCGAATTTTAGCCATCAGATTTCTCCTCCATCTTGTAAGTCCTGCTGTGCTTCCGAAACTGACTGTAATTTCATCATAACATTGGCTTAAGCAGTTTTAAGATTATAAGTATACCACTAAAAAAACAATTATTCTGTATATTTCAGAGCCAATGTTGTCTATGGATGGCTTGCCATTTTTGTAGTGTGTGTGGCTCTGCCCCCTTCAAGTCTCCTTAAAACAGCATCCAGCCTGAGAGAAAAAAGCTTCTTTAAACCTGCGGAGGTCTCTCACTGCCTCCAGCTACTGCCTCTTTCTTCCTCCGCAGTCTCCAAGCTTGGTTTGCACCTGCTGGCTCACCAAGATTTGTAATGGCTCCAACCAGAGCATTCGAATTTTGGAAGATGTTGATCAACAGACCTTACAAAATTATTTCAAATGTCTAATTTGGTAAATATATTTTCAATTTGATGAGGGAACCGAAAGCAAAAATACTTGGTAAACTGTGAGCATTTTGAGAGCAGAAATTATGTCTTTTATTCTTCATACCCCTCACCATGCCCTGAACTTACAAATTTTCCAATAAATAAGTGCTATGTAATTGGTCAGTTACAAAGTTAAATTGTTTTGTCTAGACAGAGAGGATTGATTTGGGCTATGTGAGTCAAGCTGACAAAGTTAAAGTTCAGATTCAATGTACAAGTGGTAATAATAGTACCTGACACTGAGGCTCAAGACATAATATACAACTGGTTTTTAAAAGGTTCAGAGGGAAGCAACTGAAAGGTTGCAGTAAGAGGATCTTGAAATTATATGAGTGCAATGTTGGGGGTGTGTATTTTGTACAATGGGCTTCTGGCAGTTAATCAGGTTTGAAAAGGGGTCTGCAGGCTGTGTGCAGTGGCTTATACCTGTAATCCCAGAACTTTGAGCGGCTGAGACAGGAGAATCACTTGATCCCAGGAGTTTGAGATCAGCCTGGGCAACAAAACAAGACCCCATCTCTACCAAAAAAAAAAAAAAAAAAAAATTTAATAAAAATTATCTGGGCATGGTGGTGTACGCCTGTAATCCTAGCTATTTGGGAGGCTGAGGTGGGAGGATCACTTGAGCCCCAGAGGTTGAGGCTACAGTAAGCCATGATCAGGCCACTCCACTCCAGCCTAGGGGACACAGCAAGACCCCGTCTCAAAAGAGAAAAAAAAAAAGGGAGGGGGTTGCTAGTTAATAAGATAGAGTAGGCCAGGTTCCCAGGAAAATGAAGCCTGAGGCCAAAGAGCTTTGTTGCATCCAAGGAATGCAAAAGTGAGGGAAAGAAGGAGTGAGTCAGGGAAAAAGGGAAAAAAGGGAGGTGAGATATCAAGCTGGGCTCCACTTACATGTAAGCACAACCTCTTGCTCAGTTGTGCAGGTGGTCTTCAGAGCGGCCGTAGGAATTACTGCATTTCAGCCCATCTGTTAGGGCAAAGGCGACTGGTGGGGTGGAGAACAGGGGAGGACAAGAAGGAAAATTTATCCTCTGATTCCCATACCTCAATAGTGGAAATTTTGTTTCAAAGGATATTAACCCCTTGTGATGGTTAATTTTATGTGTCCACTTAAAGGGTGCTTTTGGATGAGACTAATGTTTGAATCAGTTACCCTCTGCCAGCCTTTACACTGTAACTGCACCATCAGCTGTCTTAGGTCTCAGGCTGGTCCACATTGCAGATTTCAGACTTGCCAGCCTCCATAATCACATAAGCCAATTCCCGAAAATAAACCAGACAGTACAGGTAAGAAGATCTCAGGTGATGCCTTGGGAGTGGATAATGCAGCGGGAAAAGCCAAGACCAGGTGCTGACCTTAGAAAGGTATGTTTATTTATATATACCTTTTATTTTATAGAATAGTCTTATAAATAAAATGAAGAAATGCGTGCTTATTTTATAGTGGGATGAATTTTCAAATAACAAGACAACATATACTCAAAGAGCATTTGTAGTTTAATGCCACTATCTAGATATATGACTTTGGGAAAGTGATTTGGCCTGGCTAGTTCTTAGTTTATTGATTTTTAAAAAGAGAGGATTGGATTGGCAATGTGCAAGTTTTCTCCCAGCTCTGGAATTACTATTTTTCTCTATGATTTGAACAAATATACAGAAATTTAAAGAATATACAATCTGACACATCAAATGTCAGGTTCAAACTTTAAAAATATTTTCATTAATAGAAATAATGGACCAAAATCACTCTGATGAAATTTAGCTTCACTAAATAATGGACCAAAATCACTTTGATGAAGTTTCATCACTCTGATGATATTTAGCATCACTAAATGTCAAGTACTACATTTGTGTCCAAGCAATCCATTCCACAAGTACTGATTTTGGGAGACATTTGGCTTGAGAGTCATTCCTGTCACACAACAACAAAAACAACAACCAACTCTGGGGATTTCTGTTGATCTTAAAGTCAAAAGAATGAATCAACTCCTAAATAATTATGTCCTTATTGGGGCTCCTTCACTGAGAAGGAGGCTGGAGAAGTCAGACCAGGTGGCCTCTGATGATCTATCTGTAGACTCCCAAGTTTCATCCATTCTTATCCCTTCCCTCCCACCTTTGCCTGGGCACAGTCAGACAGGGCACAGCACACAATAACCACAAGGTCAAGTGCTCTTATAGTGGCACAAGGTCACTCAGAGAGCCTCCTGGCTTTTACTTCTCCTCATCCTTACAGGACGATTGTTCTGGATTGTGGCTCCAATGCCTGGTGTATAAAATTACCCAAACACAAAGCTTGTAGACAGAAGATAGCTTCAGGATCCTCACTCAGCTCTTCAAGAGTTATAGGCATTAAAAGGTGGCCTCTGGAGTGTGCCGCCACTCTGCTGACTGGAACCAAATCTATCTTAAAGTTAGAAATATGATCCAGTTGGGGACAGACTGTGATTTAATGCCGTCCAAGTACTACAGGGTGCACTTCTTAGAGAAACCATTGTAAATTATTTGTGGCTAATTCTGCTGGTGGATGGAGGGCATGGGATATTCTCAAGTACAAGAGCCCAGCTTGTATCTAATAATTGTTATATCTTCTCTGAAATTTACTGCCGATGTCTCAATTTTAACAATTTAAATAACAAGCTTAACCAAGTGGAACGAGGCTCAGGCAGGCTGGCGCTCTTGATGAAAGCAGGACAACTCTTATGTCTGAGCGCATTTTTACTTTGACATGAGCAGTGACACACAGAGATGAAATCTGGTTAAAGCGGCAGCCTTCTCAACCCCATGACAGCTTCTTAGGCTAAGCAAAACAATTTCAAGAGAGTGCACACATATACTTGTTAACTTTACTTAAGAAGACTGATTAGAGGCCACGCTTATGAATATGATAATAAGAAGTGGGTGCTAGGAAGTTAAGCCAAGGCAGCTGGGTAAATGGTGCTGCTGTTGTCTTCACTTTTAATGGGCTGCTCAGTGGTCTGAATCTTTGGGTCCATCAGTTTGTTCAGAAACTAGGTGGGCCTCCTCCATGCTCCAAGGAGCCACGATAATAGCACATTTTTATTTTACTTGCTGTTGCATTGGTGTTGATACTGTGAGTGGTCAAATATGATTTCCTGTAGATTATACTTATTACCCTTTTGATTCTCTTTACTCCAGGTCTTCACAAATTCTCCAATTTCAAAACATGTTGCATGCCCAAAGTTATGTAACATGCCAGGTGAAATCTGAGCCCTTGTGGCCATAATACAGGTTATGTTGGGAAATTGCAACATGATGGTAGCATTGCTCCCAGATCGCAAGGTCTTATAGAAGAGTAAAGAGACTAGCCTGTAAGCTGAAAGACGTTGGAAAACTCACTTTGCTTTTGTGGATCACTGTTTCCTCTTTAGTAAAGCAAAGAACTGGATGAACACTATCAAGTATATTCTAGATCCCCTGTCCTATGATCCTACGCTCTTAGTCCAAGGGCACTTTAGACTAATGCAAATTCACTTGCATTATTTTAAATTAAATATCAGACTTTTTTTTTTTAATTTTTTTTGAGACAGAGTCTCGCTCTGTCACCCAGGCTGGAATGCAGTGGCGTGATCTCCCCTCATTGCAAGCTCCACCTCCTGGGTTCATGCCACTCTCCTGCCCCAGCCTCCTGAGTAGCTGGGACTACAGGCATGTGCCACCACTATGCCCAGCTAAATTTGTTTTGTTTTGTTTTGTTTTGTATTTTTAGTAGAATCAGGGTTTCACCTTGTGAGCCAGGATGGTCTTGATCTCCTGACCTCGTGATCCGCCTGCCTCGGCCTCCCAAAGTGCTGGGATTACAGGCATGAGCCACCGCGCCCTACCAATATCAAAACTTTTAATATGGTACAATGCCTTATCAGCTTGGCAGTCTCTTAAGAAGTTAAACATACACCTTGCCATATGACCCAGCCATTGCACTTGTAGGTATTTACCCAAGGGAAATGAAAACTGAAGTCTACACAAACTCTTGGACACAAACGTTCATAGCAGCTTTATTTCTAATCCTCTAAATCCAGAAATAATCCAGATAGCCATCAACAAGTGAATGGATAAATTGCGCTCTATTCATACATTGTTGATAAACTCAACAACATAGATGAATTTCAGAATAAGTATACTGGATGAAAGAAACCAGACAAACAATAGCACATACTGTGCAATTCCATCTATATGAAATTCCAGAAAATGCAAACTCATCTATAGTGGCAGAAAGCAGATCTGTAGTTGCTTCAGGACACAGTGGGTGGGCCAGGAGGAAGGAGGGATTACAAAGGGACACAAGGTTGATGAGTATGTTCACTATCTTGATTGCGATGATGATTCCGTGGATGCAAATATATGTTAAAGCATATCACAGTGTACACTTTAAATATGTGCAATTTATTGTAGGCCAATTACACCTCAATAAAGCCATTTTTTTAAAAAGTCTCAATATTACGCATACACCTTAATTCCAACTCTAAGATTTTATCACAAATAATCAGAGATGTATATTAAGGTCTAAAGTATAAGAGCATTGATTGTAACACTATTTGTAACTTTTTTAAAAACTGGAAACAGCCTAAATTGAAGACGAGAACTGATTAGGTAAAGTATAGCACATCTATATGTTGGGTTAATGCAGCCATTAAGTCATGCTGTAGACAAAATAGTTATTGTCATGAAAAAACTGTTTGTGATTTATTTCTGTGTGAAAAAAGCAAAGTACAAAACAATATGTGGTAGAACAGTGCAATTCTTTAAAGTCTATGTTAGAGGTTGATAATTAATCATACTTCTTCATCTCGGAGTTAGAAACCAATTGAGACAGACTAAGGAGTTGGTCAGATGGAGAGAAACATACCAGCTTTGTTACCAAGAGATTTGACTGGAAAATCGTAATTTGGAGCTAAGGCAAAGAAACATCTTGTTTCTAGGGGGTGCTGGAACAGAGCTGGGCTGTTCAAGTCAGTCCCTCCCTATCTCAGGATGTTCCATTCCCAGCACATTCAGCAGTTTATGCTTGCGAACTGTAAGCAAGAAAGGGAGGAGAGGACAGGCGCAGTGGCTCACACCTGTAATCCCAGCACTTTGGGAGGCCGAGGCAGGCAAATCACCTGCTATCAGGAGTTCGAGCCCAGCCTGGCCAACATGGTGAAACCCAATCTCTACCGAAAATACAAAAATTAGTTGAGTGCGGTGGCACACATTTGTAATCCCAGCTACTCGGGAGGCTGAGGCAGGAGAAGCACTTGAACCGAGAGACAAAGATTGCAATGAACTGAGATCACACCACTGCACTCCAGCCTGGGTAACAGAGCAAGACTCCGTCTAAAAAAAAAAGGGAGAACTGAGTTAGTCCAAGAACACCTGGAGAACTGTCCTGCACTCTGCACTTAATTGCCCCAGCTGGAAACACAGGGAGAAGAAAAGAATGATGCCCCTTGCAATCTACATGTCTCTGTAAAGATAAAGAGAAATAGACTGCAAGGGCTTGTGCCATGCCGCCAGTGATGGCCGCCCTGCCGGGCTGGGTACTGGGACTGAGAGAGAAAGGAAGGGTTGTGGGTGATTATTTTTTTCTTTTTCTTTGGCTTTGAATTATTTTTAGATTTTCCAAGTTTTCTGAATATGTGACTTAGAGTAGGAAAAGATTATTTTTTAAAAACAGATAAAGTAAATCAAAAGGAGAAAGAATGTCTGAACTTTCCAGTGCTGCTGTGGTGGGGAGTATTTGGTTTGAGGCTTCTCCTCCCCGCCTCATTACTTCATATACTTTGTAAAATAATGTCATATACTTTGTGTCATTTATTTTGTGTCATATACTTTGTGAAGATGCCATCTGGGGACATGTTGCCCATCATCTATTACAGTGCTACACTGAAAATGTCGAAAGCCCTCGGTAAACAGGATTAGATTTTGCTTTTACCTTTTCCTTAGTTGACGAAGAGAGTGGTATGAAATGATTTTTCTAGAATAGCC